GCGGAATTGGTGAGTTACAGTTCACCTTGATTCACTACTCGCACTTGATATTCTGTTAAAAGTATACTCCACACTGACTTCTGGTCTACATTTTCTTCTTCTTCCACGCATTCCAAGCTTATTGCGTATGGCATATTAGTTTTTTGCGTTCTCTCAACTTAGTGTTCTAGATGCACTTCCACAGTTATTAATGGAGAGCTTTCGATGCCTGTATCATTTCTGCATTAGTATAATTGGGTGGCAAGTACAATCATACTCTATGCCCAGGGAAGTCGAGAAATTTTCCAACCCGAAAAATTCCTAGACCGAACCGGGAATCGAACCCAGCCACCTCCAGCATGGTCTTGCTTTGTAGCTGTGCCTTTACCGACTGAGCTAAGGGAGGTCCTACATGCTCGCCTGAGATAAAATGAACGATGGCCGTTTCTTAAGCATCTCAGAACCCTGCAGCTCAACATCCTTTACTCCGTGTCATCATTTTGTCGCGGCCATGCACACCATATTCAGCAATCGGCCGTTATGCATAGCCGGATCGTCTGCTCAGTGGATTTCACCGCAAGTGTTAAAATATTGTGTTGAACCTTTGTAACAGAACGGCTACAACTTCAGAGAACTACAGGTAAGTTCAGAGATCTTTAGAAAAATTCAGAGAGCTTCTTGGAAATTCTTCGAACTTCAGGGCAGTTTCGTGACTTTCGGTAAATTGTGAAAACTTTTTTTGGAAACTTCAGGTTGATTTTGAGAGCTTAGATCCGTTCAATTAACTTCACACAAATTTTAGATGTTCCAAGAACAAGGTCTACAAAACTTCATAGAAGTGGGGAGTACCATCCAGGCGACAATAACTCTCAAACCCTCAACGTCGTAAAAGTAAAATATTTTCAGAAAAAAAAACAGATTTTTCAAAACCCATCAAAACTTGAGGAGTATGAGGTTTTTTTTTTATAGATAGATAGATAATAAATCTGTTCATAAATGACGGAGTTGTGATAGTTTTAGCATATTTCAGTACCAGACGATGGGAGTTCAAGAGTTGTAATCTGGAGAATTACGGGAACCTAAAAGAAGTTCTAATAATTTTTAGGGAAGTTCATGGATTTAAAGTAAGTTCGAAAAATTTCGCGGCAGAATCTAGATGTTCAAGTACGAGCAATACTTGAAAATTTCAAGAGTTTAAGGCAAATTCCATTTGCTTCAAGGTAGTTCAAAAGATTTCAGTACTAAAAACTTGAGTAGAATGGCAAGAACTACAGAGGTGATCCGAAAACATCAGAGAAGTTTCGAAAACTTGTGGGTTGTTCTGAATATATCAGAAAGTTACAAGAATTCAAAAAATAGTACAAACTTTAGGAAAGATTCATGAATATTAGGAAAATCAAGGAAAATTCATGGAGGTTCAGAGATTTATGAAGGATATTAAATCTCCAGAAATATAGCGGGAACTTCTAAGAAACTTTTAAGAAATATAAATACAAAAGACTTCAGAGAATTCCAAAGAATTTAAGGGAACTTCAAAAACTTCTAAAGTATAGAGAAATTTACGAAAGTAACATGAACTTGAAGTCACGTTCTGGCAGTTCAGATAACTTCAGAAAAGTTAAGTAATGCTCTTCATAAGGAATCTTCTCAAGGGAAGGATCATCGCTGCGAAAAAAATACGTTTTGATTTTTCAAATATTGAAAAAGGTATCATAAATCTATAAAGAAAATTTACGGGCAATTTTTTTGCAAAATTTACGCGCAAGTCTTTCTTTGCCAAACAACTTATTTCTGAATAAAAGCATATTCAACTGTAACAAAAGATTTGAGGAATCACGGATCACTAGTAGAGGTATATTTGATCATTAAGTGGAAAGATTGAAACCTGAACATCTCAAGTCTCAACAAGCGACAACAAGTTCGGCCTTACTCCACTCTTTGGCCGAACTCCAACCCAAAGAGTGGAGTGAGGCCCGATTTCTTGTCGGACGTCAACACGCTGATGTCAACACCTAGCGCCCTTCGGTTTTTCTCTTCCGCTCTGGTACCTACTTGTTGGAACTCGGAACTTATTTCGGAATTATGAACGCGTTAAGCCCCTAGCACATCGGCGAAATGAAAAACGAGCAATTTATTCAAATTTACAATAAAAATTCGATCCCTACAACAATGGGCGCGGGGGAGTTATGGGTCTGCCAGCTAGAAAGAAAGCCCGGAACGAACCGACTGCGCTGTTATTTGTTACCATTGTTGTTGTTTTTGTTGGCAACCTTTTTTGTATTGTATCATTTTCTCTACTTTTTCGCGGAGATCGCGCCGGGATGAATGAATGAAGCGTTTGGAGCGTGTGGATACGAATGAAAGCCCATGGAACAACAATGGTGTGAATGTGGAGGCCCAATGAGATGCAGTAGGATCGAGGGACGCAGGGGAGTTCGATTCGATGCGATGTCGAACAATCGAGGTGAGAAATGTATTATTTGATTTAATGACAACTGTTAAGCACTGTTCTTTGTGCAATGTATAAAATCCGTGGCAACAACAATGCTGGAACGATTGGAAAGTGTGAGGTGTGATTCGATGCACTTATTTTCTTTTAAATTATAATTCCATGTATATGATGATGCATGAACATTGTACAACTATTGGAATATTTAAATTATGACCGTTGTTTCGGAAATATTTTTCCCCAACAGTTCATTAGGTTTCAAGAACCAGTCAATAAAAATGCAATATTGCTGACCGTAAGCATCCATAAGCGCATAAACAATTAAAACCGCTGGCTGGCCTTTATCATTTCGAGAAACACTCGCGCAAGCAGGTCCTAATTTATATCTCCCCCCCCCCCCCCCCACGCTTCCAATCGACCAAAAATGGTTCCACATCGATGAACATCGCCTACTTCCCCACTCTAGCGCAGTGACTGAAATTGACTGCCACTAGTGCATACAAACGTTGGACGGACCCAAAATTAAATTAAATTATTGTCCACATTGGTAATTTATTCGGTCCGAAGTCCCTTGGTGCCGCCGACAGCCACCCAGTGTTTATTGCTGTGGGGAAATGAATTTCGGAGCTGGGCTGAGCGAGAAAATTTTCATCTGTAATTCAGCGAGCCGAAAGGGTCCCAAACCGAAAAATTTCCACCTCATAAAACAATTCCTGTGCAGCGAGGGGCCTATGGAAAGCGTGCTTCGTAACCGTTACAACCAGAACTCGAAAGATACCAACTAACAACAACGCAACCAGAGCCCACAACGTGACCGCACGCATAGACCGCCAACAAGCAAATGCCAGGAGTGAGTGAGTGAGAGGTACAGCACATTACACAACCGATTAAATTAATTTAATTAAATATCCATCAGTGAAACCACGCGGAAGCGTTTCGGCACTCGCGTGATTGTGCTCGATTGTGCTGGTGGTCCATTTTTTTTTACTGTTGCCACGCGATGGAACCACATCACACGGGGAAAAGCTTTCATGCGATCTGATGAACCTTGTGCTCCTAATTGAAACAAAACATACAAAAAATTGCAAATGTATGGTACCTACCAAACCTATGGTAGGATTTGACCCTTCATGCCTATTTAAATTCCAACATCGATTAAGTGCTTTAGGGAAGAAAAGTAAGATACCATTCTATATGTTGTGTGGAGCTGTGATCTCCCTTTGCTCTTTTGGTTAAGGGTCAGCTACAAAGCAAGACCATGCTGGAGGTGGCTGGGTTCGATTCCCAGTTCGGTATAGGAATTTTTTGGGTTGGACTTCCATGGGTATAGAGTATGATTGAAACCTGCCACATAATCATACTCTTGAAGGGACGAACGGGAGACTCCAAACGAAGTATACGGTTTAACAGGAAAAACGTAGAAAAGTTTATTTAAACGTCTGTACTACACGAAGTGCGATTGTGGAATGAACAGTTATTAATCAGGGAGGGCTTCCCAACAACGTAGCAGGGGAAAGCGATGGCTGATTGCCTACTACGCCAACACCCCCTCTCAATCGGCCATTCCAAGGCCTTGGCACAGCTTCTCCATGCGCACCGGTTTGGTGAACAAATCCGCCAGTTGCTTCTCGGTACTGATATACTTCACCGCTACACGTCCATTCATCACTCCGGACAACCAGATCACTTCCGAAACAGCAGAACTCAGCGACACATACTCCGCTTCACTCGAGGATGTAGCAACGGTAACCTGCTTTTTGCTCGACCACGATACAGGATTACATAAGTGAACAGGTAGCCGCTGACTGACTTTCTGTCTTCCGCATCCGATGCCCAGTCGGCGTCAGCATATCCGACCAACGCTTCCGCTGATTCGTCGCTTACAAACTTCAGGTGCTTCGTTTTCGTCCCTTTCAAATACCGTACTAAATATACGCTTGAGGCATTGCCAATGGTTAACTGTTGGGTTCTGTTGGTAACGGCCCAGTAATCAGACGAGGAAACACAAATCAGGCCTGGTGCACAGCATTACATAATTGTGCCCAGCAGCTCACGATACCGTTCTTGGGTTGACTCACCATCACGGGAAACAACCAGATTCTTCTCCATAGGCGTCTTGGTCGGGTTACAATCTGTCATCTTAAAGCGTATCAATATTTTTTCGATATTCGTTTCTTGAGAGAGTTTCATGGAATTCGTCGCACGGTCGTATTCTAGTTTCATACCTAGGAAACGACTGATCTCACCGCAGTCCGTCATCTTGAACGTCGAACTCAGGGCTTTCTTCAGATTCACAATCGTTGTTAACGGGGAACCTGAAATTAGACAAAAATAAATTAAATTAAATTGCACCACACTTTGAAAACAAATTTGTATTCACCTTACCCGATACACTTACCTTGTTGGACTATTGGAGTTGACCGACAGCTTTGATCGCCATGTTCAGTTGTTGGATAAACTCGAGACGGCGGAAGATCATTGGAACTCCTTCCTCGTTGAGCGATTGAGCTGTTACCTGGACCACGGTACACTGCGGGAGTGGGAAACCCATATTGATGATGGCAAGCGACCCATGTACAAGGAGTTACTCGAGTTTATCCACAAAAGATCGCGAATCATTAAAACACTAACGCTCTCCCACCCTAATAATACCCAATCTGAGCCAAAATCGCAAAGGTCCCGCTTCGCAGCCCATGTTGCTTCGGAGAACGTGAAGAAGTGCCCTCACTGCAAGCAAGCACATCTTTTGTTTCAGTGTAGCGGCTTCCAATGTCTTACACCGCAGCAACGATTCGAATTCGTGAAGAAGCACGGGCTTTGCATCAACTGCTTGAAGGGTACCCACCTAGCGAAGGATTGCTCCAGTGGTTCGTGCAAACAGTGCTCCAAGAAGCACCATTCTCTGCTACATCTACCACCGATTTCGTCTTCGTCGGTTCCTGGTACATCCGTAGCAACATCAGCTTTGGTTGGTCAACCCACTGCAGCAATCAGTTCGCAATCGTCTCAAATGTCGCAAAGCAATGCGACCACAGTCGCACGTTCGCCGCCGGTAGAAGCCGGTACCTCACCACTCGCGAACTCGTCTCGATCGTTTCCGCAATCGTTTTCGGTCGGTATCGCCCCTTCCACATCGCCGGTTGATCCAATCGTTCTCGGTAATCATTCACCGTCCTCCACGTCCTGTCAAAGTGCTGAAGTGACTCAAGGTTTTCGGCAAAGTACTGTTGTGCTCTCCACAGCAGTGATCAAGGTGAAGGACGCTGACAACAACGAACATTTCGCCCGAGCCTTGCTGGATAGTGGCTCACAGCCCAGCTTCATCACCGAATCACTCTGCCAAAAGCTCCGTTTGAAGCGTGTCAAGCTCAACTCGCCGGTCAGTGGAATTGGTCAATCTACTGTGAACGTCCACTTCGGAGTTACACTCTCGCTCGCTTCACGCTACGGAGATCATCGCTTCAGTCTGGACTGCCTAGTGCTGCCGAAGCTTACCGTATCGTTACCCAGCCACCATATCGACGTTACGCGGTGGAGGATTCCACGTAACCTCCCGCTGGCTGATCCCCAGTTTAACATCAGCCAGAAGATTGATATCATTATCGGCGCTGAATTGTTCTATTCGCTCCTGGAACATCAGCAAATCTCTGTCGCTACTGGGTATCCGCTACTACAGAAGACAGTTCTGGGTTACATCGTTTGCGGAAAGGTAGTGGATCCAGCTCCCTATCCACCGGCAGTTCAGACTAGTCACGTCTGCATGAACGACACGCTTGACAAGCAGCTCGAACGGTTCTGGGAAATTGAAAATTTTGACGTCGGAAAGCCTACACTCCCGATGAGCAGCGTTGTGAAGAACACTTCCAACAAACCGTTAGTCGAGCTGAAGACGACAAATATATCGTCCGTCTACCTCTACGGGAGGAAATACTACCAATGCTTGGAGATTCCTACCCAGTCGCACTACGTCAGCTCCAATCCATGGAGAAAAAGTTTGGTGTCGATGAAGGTCTTCGTGAAGCTTACCACGGATTCATGGAGGAATATGAAAGACTGGGACATATGGAGGAGGTGAATCCATCCGCGTCGCGTAGCCCTCAGTTTTTCCTACCCCACCATGCCATACACCGTCCTGAGAGCACAACCACGAAAACACGAGTAGTGTTCGATGGATCCTGCCGAGGCTCGCACAGTTTATCGCTCAACGAGGTCCTGTTGTCTGGTCCGACAATACAGCCAGCTCTGTACTCAACCGTTATCAACATCCGCATGCCTCGTTTCGCCGTCACTGTGGACCCCGAGAAGATGTTCCGGCAGATTTGGACACATCCAGATGACCAGAAATATCAGGAGATCCTGTTCAGGAAGGATCCGTCAGAATCAGTTCGCGTGTATCAACTAAAAACCATGACTTACGGTCTCGCTAGCTCGCCTTTTCATGCTACTCGTGTGCTGTACCAATTGGCCACTGACGAAGGAGAACGATTTCCGTTTTCGGTCCCCGTGATCAAGAAGGGAATGTACGTAGACGACGTACTCACCGGCCACGACGACCTAGAAACGCTTGCTGAAACTTGTCGTCAGTTGATGGAGATGCTACAGCAAGCCGGTTTTGTGCTCAGGAAGTGGGCGACCAACGATACCGCCGTCCTCTCAAGCGTTCCTCGTCAGCTGTGGGAAACCTCACCGGAGCTTGAAATCGATCGCTCGCCTACTGTGAAGACCTTGGGACTTCTCTGGTGTCTCTCGTTTCCCAATATTACTTCCAGCTGATCATCAACTCAGTTGGCTCATCGCAAGGTCCAGCCACGTCCGAACACTTCACGGCGGTCCTACACTCACACTTGCTACTGTTCGCCAACGATTTTGGCCAGTCCGGGGTCGTCAACTAGTACGCAAGGTGGTACGCCGATGCGTAACCTGCTTCTGATGTCATCCACGGCTAGCACAGCAGATCATGGCTCCGCTGCCGTCCGTCCGCGTATCACCTGCTAGACCGTTCATACACTCTGGGATGGATTACTGTGGGCCGTTTCTCGTACGTCCGTTAAGTGGTCGGGGCGCGTCGGTTAAAGTATACGTCGAGCTATTCGTGTGTCTCGTGGTGAAGGCCGTGCATCTCGAAGTCGTCGCAGATCTGTCGTCCGTCGCCTGCATAAACGCCGTCAAGCGGTTCGTAGCTCGCCGTGGTCGAGTGCTCGAATTACACTGCGACAACGCGACTGCTTTCGTCGGGGCAGACCAAGAACTTCGCTCGATGCGAGAGGAATTCCGTCGTCAATTCCGAACCGAGTTCTGGGAGAATTTCTGCGTGGAGAGCGGAATCAAGTTTCGCTTTATCCCGGCCCGTTCACCGCATTTCGGTGGAATCTGGGAAGCCGGAATAAAATCGTTCAAGCACCACTTCCGTCGCATCATAGGCAACCGCTCCTTCACCGTAGACCAGCTCCAGACCGTCGTTGCCCAGATTGAATCGGTGCTCAATTCCCGTCCTCTTTCTCCGCTTACAGATTCACCTGACGATTGTTCCGCTCTGACTTCTGGTCACTTCCTCGTCGGTGAACCTCTCGTCGCCATCCGGGAGCCCAACCTGATCGACGTCAACCCAAACCGTTTGTCACGCCTCCAGGAGATGAAGCGATCGGTTCAAGACCTCTGGCGTTGCTGGCAGCTGGATTACATCAGTCAACTCCAGCAGCGAACAAAGTGGAAGAAGTCCCAACTCGACGTCCGCACCGGCCAACTTGTGCTGGTCAAGCAAGCTACCGCACCACCGCTTCAATGGCCGTTGGGGCGGATCGTTGAAACCGTGACCGGGAAGGATGGAAGAGTTCGGGTGGTCGTTGTTAAGACCGCGTCCGGGCAGTACAAACGGGCGATTACCGAGATCGCTATCCTTCCGATAGATCCCGACGAAGACAACGCAGGAGCTAGCTCATGCCTGGCTCAACCTCGTATCGAAGAATGTGCTGATGAAGGTTGAAACGGGCGGTTTCAACGGCGGCCGGCATGTTAACGGGGAACCTGAAATTAGACAAAAATAAATTAAATTAAATTGCACCACACTTTGAAAACAAATTTGTATTCACCTTACCAGATACACTTACCTTGTATTAGACGTCATTCAGCCACTCACGAACACACACAACACGAATACGAAAAGGAACAGAAAACGGAAACTCTACCTACCGATTGTTGTGATCGCATCGTATTGAAAACAATACACAACACAAATCAGTTGAAATAAAGCAGTGAAGTCGAAAGGACACACGTCGTTTTCCTTCCCGTCGGTCAATCCGAAAGTTCGAAAGTTTAGAAAGTTCACTAGTTTAAGGTGCAATTTTGTGTGCAGTTTATCGGTTTTCCTCCGTCGGTATTGTTACGTGTGGCAATATCACCGTTTCGATTGCCTGTCCAACGTCGCGAGTGCACTGTTGGATTTTTGTCGCGAACAATCGTTTCAATCTTCCTCCCAGCGATGAGCAAATCGTCCACATACAGAATGATATAAATTTCGTCTCCTGGTACCACCCGCACGTAGAGGCAGTAGTCGTGCAGCGATCGACGTAATCCCAAACTCAGCAACCGATCGATGAACTTTTCGTTCCAGCACCTTGGGGATTGCTTGAGGCCGTGCAGGGACCTGAGTAAGCGGCACACTGTATTAGGGGACGCTGCAACACCGTCGGGAACCGCCATGTACAACTCCTCTTTCAGGTCGCCGTGCAAAAACGCCGTCTTGACGTCCATTTGATGGAAGTGGAAACACTGTTGCACTCCGACCGCGAGAACCATCTGATGGTGGCCAGTTTTGCAACAGGAGCGAATGTCTCCTCGCAATCGACTCCAGTCTTCTGCAGGAATCCTTTCACCACCAGTCTCGCCTTATGTTTGACCGCATTGCCGGCCGGATCGTCCTTCAGCCGAAATACCCATTTCGATTTCAGAGGCTTCACTCCCTTCGGACAGCTCGTAAGACGCCAGACCTTGTTCTCCTCCATGGAACGTAACTCATCTCGTACCGCAGCCATCCACATGGCTCGGTCAGCACGCTGGGGCAGTTCATCAAACGATTCGGGTATATCTGCGGGAATCAAATCACCAGAAATAGCTCTATAACCGATAAAGTAATCAAATAACTTACCGGGGAGCCTGCGCTCCCGTTCGCTATGCCTCGACGACAGTTCACTAGGAATTTCGCGTCTTTCTGTGGGCGAAAGGAGCGCATTTTCTGGTTCTTCAACCGGTTCTTCAAGATCATCGTCGGGTTCTGCTTCAATTCGATTGATTTCAGGTTCATCATTGGCTTCACGAATTTCATCTGTGGGGGCCGGCTGGCAACGCTCCCCCTCTTGCTCGAACGGGAAGTGGACGGTCAATGGGACATCGTCTTCTTGCTGCATCACAGCATACGGGAAGGACGACTCATCAAACTTGACGTTTCGAGCAATCGTAAGCTTTCGAGCCACCGGGTCCCACACGCGGTAGCCGTTCGGAGCGTACCCAACCATGACCATCTCCTTGCTCTTCGCATCCAATTTACGCCTTTGCTGCTTCGGAATCCACACGAAACTTTGATACCGAACCACATCTCAGCCGGGGTAACACCAGAGAGCAACGCACTTGTTGGGCTTCGGTTCATCAAGTAAACGCAGGCGAGGGCTGCTTCGGACCACAGCTGCTTCGGCACATTGGATTGGATGAGCACGGAACGGACTTTTTCAACCAAGGTTTGGTTGAACCTCTCAGCTACACCATTCTGCGGGGACTTTCCCAGCATAGCCGTGACCTTTGCTTCGAATTCCTGGAATTTCTCGAATACCTCTGATTTGCAAATATATCACCGAGAAATGAGTATGGTCATCGATGAAACTGACTATGTAACGAGAACCATCACATGCCGGCGGATCGATCGGTCCGCAAACATCAGAATGAATACGCTCCAGCGGCCGGCTGGCCCTAGCTCCCGTTCCGTTGAACGGTTCTCGGCATTACTTGGCTTGCACGCAGGCGTCGCAGAAATCAATTTTGGTTGTTTTTTCATTCATACCTTTCAGCATTCCTTTCCCTGCCATGGTCTTCAATCCGCGTTGGCCGATATGCCCCAGTCGACCATGCCACAGGTTTCCAATCGATACTTCACAGTGATTCGCTTCAACTTCTTCCAACGACAGCTCAAGCTCGTACAAGCTGCCTCGAAGGTGTCCAGTGACCAGTAACTTACCACTTTTCTTCAGAACTGCTACGTTTCCAGAGAACAAGACATCGATCCCAGCATTGGCCATCTTCCTGACGGATATCAAGTTTTCACGTAGTTCTGGAACGTAGAGCACATTCTTCAGATTGAAATGTACACCTTTGTTGCTGGTCACGTTGATTTCGCCAATCTGTTCAGTAAGCATAGCTCCTCCTTCCTTGGCGACCTTGATCTCCACGCGACTGGTCATCTTCTTCAGGGCAGCAAAAACGAACTTGTCGCCAACCAGGTGGTCACTGCACCGGGAATCAAGCTTGAAAAGGATTCGTCCAGGCCACTTTTCCGCAATGTTTGCATCGGCCATGAAACTGATGGCATCCTTCTTCGCTGAATTGGCTTCACGCTGGCAACAATCCTTTTTCATGTGGCCGCGACGCCCGCATTTGTGGTACTTACCGAGGAATTTCTGGGACTTCTTTTGGGATCTTGAGTCACCCGAGAACGCTGCCGACTTGTCTTCAACTGAATCGCCCTGCCGGTCGGATCGCTTCCTTTCTTCAGCGTCAAGAAAAGCTGCGACACCAGATCACTTTCCGCCAGAGTTGCTCCGGCCGTCTTAAATTTTCTCACGAGCCCGTCGAATTCAAGTAAATGCGTCCGCATGTCCCCTTCCTTCATCCGCAAACGAGCCAACTGCTTCCGTACTAACGTTTGGCTCGCGACAGACTTCTTCGCATAAGCCGCCTGTCTGTCTGTCTGTCTGTCTGTCTGTCTGTCTGTCTGTCTGTCTGTCTGTCTGTCTGTCTGTCTGTCTGTCTGTCTGTCTGTCTGTCTGTCTGTCTGTCTGTCTGTCTGTCTGTCTGTCTGTCTGTCTGTCT